GCAGAGCATCTCCCTGGTCAGACTGACTGTCCTCTTATCTCCTCTAGTGTTTTTAGAAATCGCGAATGAAAAGTCCAGGCACTCTCTGCATGAGCATATGAGCAAGATCAAAGCACCAACGCAGGTCATCTGGGGAAGGCAGGACCAGGTATGCAGCCCCCTCCTCTTTCCTCACAGCACCATATCTCCATCTCTGCCCCTGTCCATCCGTGGGGGCACAGCAAGGCACATGTGTGCCCCTGTCGCCCATGCAAAGGGCTCCATAAATACAAAGGTGCAAGCATTTGCTTGCCATCACCCTTTTGCACTGAGCTGTCAGCCAAAAAGCATCTGAGAGTTCCCAGCTGCATGAGGAGACCGGCATCATGCAGCCTCCCTGCCCTGTTCCCAGGCCGGGGTACCATGAGATGGGGCTGGCATCACAAGGACTGTGTCCGCATCCCTGCTCAGCATCTCACTTGAGCTTGCAAAGACAGCTCTGGTGAGGTTTCTGCGGTGTCTGGCAAAACCCAGCTCTGCCTATGGGACTGACTATTTTTTCCCTTGTCATCCAGGTCCTGGATGTTTCTGGTGCCAATGTTTTATCGAGCGCTATCCCAGACTGCCACGTGTACATCCTGGAGAACTGCGGGCACTCGGTGGTGGTGGAGCGGCCCCGCAAGACGGCCAACCTTATCCTGGAGTTCCTGGCGCTGCTGCACAGCACGGATAACAACAAGAAGCAGGCATGAGCGTGGCGGGGAGCCAAGCACCCACGCTGGGTCTTTTAAATTGTAAAGTACTGCAGCTTTGATAAGTTCTCAGGGATCTTGTATGAATCGGGTTGAATGTGCCAAAGTCCCTGAGGAAGGCAGAATCAGAATCACTGATACCTAAACCTATAGCACCGCTGGCACAGCGACCTAGGGGTCATTGAGCAACCTCCATAGATACAGGAATGGAAGCAGAATCTCTCCCTTTTCTACTTAGAGATAAAGTAGAAACGAGCTGAAATCACCAAGCGCTAGCCATGCCGTGTGCTGAAGCTCCTTACGCAGCGGCCCATCTTACCCAAGTTACCAGCACGTAGTTAATGACTTTTACCTAAACTATATAAGTGTAGGAAGGAGGAAGAGTCCTGGACCGAAACTTACAATATTTTTACTACTTAGAGTCCGTCATGTTGCATGCTGCTGTGCTATAAGAGAACCCCAGTGCTCCAGGCGTCTGCTCGAGTGCTCTTTGTGTAGCTCCTTAACTCGTGATTTATGCAGAAAACAACAGAAAACTTCATGTGTGGGAGTCCAATGACTGTATGTGCAAAATGTTTACACTTTGAGTGGGTTTTTTAAATCCCTGAACAGCTCCTGTGTATATGTAATGCCTTAACATTGCCCAGGGTACGGCGTCCATGCACAGCCCGCCTTGCCCAGGGGATGGTTCTCCCTGAGGGTGAACATAGCGAGTGAAAACTTGGGATGCAGGCGGTGGCATGTGAACCAGAGGGATGGAAACCACCCGAGGTGATTCAGCCCCCGAGCCTGAGTCAGCAATAAGCCCGTGGGCAGGGTGCGAGTCAGCAAACTCGGGCAAACTCTTGTCTCAGCTCTTCTATCACATCGCGCTGCTGAACACGTTGATGTAAATAGCGACTTTCTTAATGAATTCCGTGAATTCTGCGAATGCCAGCGTCACCGAAACCAGGCATGAGGGCTGGGAGCAGGCTCTGTGTGTGGGTAGCGCAGGGGATGCGGGCTCCTGAGCTCGCTGGGTGGTGAGGAGAGGGGGACAGCTCGCCTGCGAGGTGCTGGGTGGTAGCGTGGAAAGGTCGGTGTGCTTGTGTGTCCTCTCCAGGGTTGTAACTCCTGATTGAGAGAATTACAGGTGGAAACGGGTGATGCAGACAAGATACACTTTGCAGCCTGCAAGGGGACAGATCCTGCACCTCCCTGAGTGTGGACCCTCACCGGGGGAAAGGGCTGGTCCTGGTCCTCTCAAAGGCAAATCAGTAGGTGGCATCACCCCCAAGCGCTCCTCGGGGCTGACACCGGGTGCTGTTAGAGCCCCCCAGACCGGGTGCGCAGGCTTGTGGTGCTGACAGCCGTCTTCGCAACGTCTCCCCCAGGTACCCCGATCTGTACAGGTATCTGAAACTCCCCGTCAGCTTCTCTGGTCTTTTTAAGAGAAGAAACTTTGTTCTTTTAGCAGATTAGAGGTTTGCTGTTATTGCTTGGTTATTGTTTCTACTACAGGAGTTGATTAAAAAAAAAAAACAACATAAAATTGCTGATAGTTTTATGTGGTAAAAGCCAGAAAAGTTGTTTGGTATCTGTATGGTTTCTCATATGCCACAGATTGCTGTATGCAAAGGATTTATATGGCTATTAAAATCTAGTGATTTAAGGAGTCCACTGTGCAATGGTTGTTTTTACCTTTGAGGAATGGATTTAAGCTGAAAGAGGGTAGATTTAACTTACGTATTAGGAAGAAGCTCTTCCCTGTGAGGGTGCTGAGGTGCTGGCACAGGGTGCCCAGAGAAGCTGTGGCTGCCCCATCCCTGGCAGTGTTCAAGGCCAGGTTGAATGGGGCTTGGAACAACCTGGTCTTGTGGAAGGTGTCCCTGCCTGTGGCAGGGGGTTGGAACTGGATGAGTTTTAAGGTCCCTTCCAACCCAAACCAGTCTGTGATTCTGTGAATAAGGAGGCTGTGGTGTGGAATGATGCACAGCACAGAGGGACTTGCTCTGTTTCTTCTTTCCTCCCCACATTTCTGGGAGATGCAGGTTTTGCCTTGAGCAATATTTGATGTCAGGAGAGATGGTGAAGACCAGGAAGGCTCAAGTCTCATCTCTTCTAAGACAATATAAATTTTGCTTTTTTCATTTTATTAAGAGGAGGTGGCTCTAAACACTCAAGAAACAAGGCAGGATGTCTGCCACTCATCCTGGCTGGAACACATGCCAACCCAAGCTGACCCTATAGCAGCAGCTGAGCCCACTGGTGAGAGGTGGAAAGACCCAGTAACACTGGCAGCTGTTCCCAATAACCCTCATTTCCCACTGGGAGCCATAAAAGCCCACACCCTGCAAGGGCTGCTCCCACGGTTTCAACTGCTGCCTTCCCAGCACTGAGCCCTCCAGTGAGCCCCAGCAACCACTGAGGTAAGGTTGTATTCCTGGGCTCTGTGTGGGGCTCAGGAAGGGGCAGAAGGTGCTGCTGCTTCCAGTGGTTTTGCGGGTCCTGTGGGCAGAACTGGGGAACCAGAAGGAAATCATTGGGTCCCAGTTGTGGTGAGCCTGGGTTCTGTAACCCGCACATAGCCTGAGCATCCTGGCATGGCAAGAGGGAGAGGTTTGCCTTTTGTTTTGTTTGGTGTTTAAGTGTTGTTTTCCTTGTAGTTACATGAATAAACTGGGTCTATGCTGGGGATGGGCTGGGTTGTGAGGCTCATGGATGAAGAGCCGCATATGAAAGGTAAGGAGTCAACCCTTGGTTGTTACGGGTCTTGCCAAGACTGGTTTGCTGTATCCCAAGAAAAGGTTGCAAAACACAACAGGGTTGGCTTGCTAATGAACTTAACAATGCCTTGGAGTAAGTTGTTTTGCTGCTGAGAATCCAGGTCCATGGTGGTGCCCATCACCCTGCTCCTGGGGTATCAGTGGGAGCAGGAGGGACAGAGCTGGTGGCATCTGCTCCTGGCACTTGGTATGTGCCCAGCTACTATTGAAGGGGAAATGTGGTGCCCTCAAAACGTGGGCACCCAGAGAAACCGGGGTTGGTTCCTGCTCAATGCAGCTGCAGTGGACAAGCATCTTTCTCCCTTTTTCCACCAGAGGAGAATAACACTGCTCCCTTGCGGGTGGTGGTTTTGCCAGCACAGCCCTGTGCAGAGCGTCCTCTGACAGCCAAAGCGATGCTTGGGGTGTCTGGCATCACAGTTTGGGTGCTGCTGTGGGTATCCCCCACCCTGGGAGCCCATAACCTGCAGAACCTTTGCCTGAGTCAATGTGTTTCACAATCCTCTTGGATGTGAACTGTGCTTCTCCTATGGGAGCACCCAGAGCACAGCCCCTCTCACCCACTGTGGGAGGGGGCACAGCAGCCCCCACCCAAGTCCCTGCACCCTGGGGTGCTGAGGGGGGTGCGTGTTCCCCGTTGTGCCTGTGGCTGACCTGTGACGTGCAGGGATCCCCTGCCTGGACCCTCCAGATGACACTTACGGTGAATGCAAGGAGAACACACAGGACCTGGTGAGTGTTGTGGGTTTTGGTTGGTTTTCTTTCTGGAAAGCCCCTTTCCGAACACGAGCCTCTTTGGGGGCGGTTTGGGATTAGTCGTTGAGTAATCGCCGTTTCACTAGCACTCGGTGGCTTCTCCCTGCTGCCATTCCCTGCCCAACAGCGCTGCCTGCCTGCTGCTGCCCGCCCGCAGCTTGGGACGTGGAGAGCGCGCCTGGGTTTCCCTTTTCTTACAGAAAAACTTTGTCTTCAGCGACCTCAACAGCCTTCGCCTCCCCCCTTCACCCTCCTCCGTTTCTGTTGCACCGTCTCCGATAGTAAAAAGGGTTTGGGGCTTTTCTACTTTTTTTTGGGGAAAAAGAAGTATTAACTGTAACAGGTATAAAAGGATCAATGTTAATCCCACAGGGGAAAAAAGAAACTCACTTCATTCTCTACACAATTTCATTATGCATAAAAACAAGTCACGTAAAGCTTCAGAGCATTTTCAGCTTTTGCTGGTTTTCCTGTGCAATTCCTCTCCCCTAAACCTGTCTTAGTTACTATATCTTAGTTTTAGGAGAAACTGCTGTAAGCAATAATCTCTTTTGGACAGGATATGTTTACCTTTAGCATATAAAATTATGTTTGCTTTATACATCCATCTTTAGAAACAATGTCAAGTCATCCAATTCAGGAGGAAGATTTTCTCTGTTCTGGATCCAGTTATACACAGATCTCATAAAATATGCTTATTCTTTCAACTTATATTTTCAGGTTTGACACCTGCCTCAGGAAGAAAATCATGTTTCTCAGAGGTACTCTCCTGGGAATTATTCTTTGCAGCATCCACTGGACAGAAACTACTCTGCCTGGCTCTATTTTTTTAAAGCCCTGAACATAAAAGAACACAGGTAAAAAAAAAAAACCCAAATATTGGGAAAATACATTATCAAAATTGTCTTCCTTTGTAAGTCCTTAAAGCCAATGTTCTTTACAGTGTTTAGAGCAGCTTTTAGAAGATTTATTCTGTGGAAGAGGAAGGAGTTATTCTGGAGAACTTCTGTAGCAAACCGTTGGTGTCATATGCATGCTATGAGAACACAGACCTAATCTGGGAGGGTGGTGAGGCACTGGAATAGGTTGCCCAAGGAAGTTGTGAATGCTCCAACCCTGGAGGCGTTTAAGGCCAGGCTGGACAGAGCCTTGGGCGACATAGTTTAGTGTGTGGTGTCCCTGCTCATGGCAGGGGAGTTGGAACTAGATGATCTTAAGGTCCTTTCCAACCCTAACTATTCTATGATTATGATCTCATTCACTAAGAATTAATAATCTGGAAAAAAGAAAAATTGAAGGGAAAACATTGTTTTAGGTAATTTGTTGTCATCTTCTTTGAAAATTAACTGTAAGGTGCTTGTTCTTTAACGAACCTTTAAATCAAATTCCTATGGGAATGGATGCAGCAGTGGTAGTACAATTACTAATTGTCTTTAGTACAATTACTAAAGACCTGCCTATCTCACACACATGATGCCTTCAGCTAATTTGCTGCAGCTGTGTTAATTAGGGGTTATAGTTTCCCCACTACAGACTAGTTTGATTATGGAAAGAATATATAGATATTCTTTTGCTTGTTTTCTAGCAACAAAAGGATCCAAAAAAACCCACAGCATAACTTCATAGTTGAGGCACATAAGGCTTTTGGGATACAGATGAAGCAGGGGCAGATGGCAACAGTAACAGTATTGAAATTGAGGCTTGTATTTTTATTTCTTTCTCACATACAAGTTAAAGGGGTAGGGTTGGGTAATGCAATTTCTTTCACAGGAGGCAGTGTGAATTAAAACTACAGTCATTTTTAACTTCAAATGCAAGTAGGAAAGGGTGTATGGAAGCTGACAGCACTGATTGTATGAAATAACTTAAAACTGCTGCAGTAAGTCAGATCACAATCTTCTATTTAGGATTCACTTCACTTCTGAATTGACATATAGTAATTTGAGTTTCTTGTAAAGTTTTCTTTCCTCCAGCTCTCTGCGCAGTTTGGTCTGTGGAAGCTGTACACCCTGGTTCTGAGATTTTGATGATGTCTCAGCACTAGGAAGTGAATAGATGGAATGACTTCTTATACCTCTTGCTTAACATCTTTTCCATGAATAAAATTAACTTGCAGTGTCCTTGTTCAGAACTTGTCTGTTAAACTCTGTCTTTCAATGTTTTTATAGTTTAATGTTCCCTTTGAAAACAGTGGCAAGATAACAGAAGAAGAGTTATGAATATCACGAATATGGACAAGCGCTGGAGAAGATGCTAGGGGACACATTTGAAGAGAATGCTTACAGGTACTGACAACCACTTTATAAAAGCAGAGCTTTTTTAAAAACTAGAACATTCAGAGCAGCATTTCAGAAATTATTGGGACTGAGTTACCATTAATAGAACCACTGAAGTATCTGGTGTTCAGAAAGTGTGATTTGAACTTTGAAAGATCACGTTAAAGTGTATTAGGCAGAAGGAGAAGGCTTATCTTCCTAACACTACCAATGATTTTTTTTTCCCCTTGCCTTCAAGTCCCAGGATTTCCCTCTCTTGTCAGCTAAGACCTTCACAATTTTTATGGTGAAAGCTATTAAGAAACATTACTGTACCTAAGATAACGTAACACGTAAACAAATCCAACCAAAAAATGCACACACAAGAAAATGAGTTTTCCAGTTTATTTGCTTGGATTCAGAACCATATCCATACTGGTGCATACATCAGAGGTACAAGGTAAGTTTTCATGCCTTCAAATGTAGAAGACAGCATGCACCAGGGTATCACATGTTCTTTTCTGTACCTCAGCTCATAGACATCTGTGATAATCCATGAATAGCTGCTAGAATTTCCTACTGAAGAGATCTTTAAAGTACTCTTTAACAGACTAATGCAATAAATGTAAGCACAACTGCAATTTTTATTAGACATGTTCTCTTCTGTCACAGAATTATTCACCTAAATGAAATGATCCCTTTGCCACCAGTACTATCTGGTGCTATGCTGCAATAGAAGACAAATGAGAAACAGAAGCAAAGGGGGAAGTGGATTAAAAAGGAGTAAATGAATCTTAGGAGACTAACCATAAGGATGTGAAGGACATGTACTTATTGAAACCTACAGAAGTGTTATAAAGAGTCAGAGCACTGAAATCATATTTGTTATGTTGAACTCTAATCATCACTTCCACAGCACATCTATGGCTTATGATCTATTTATATTTAATGTTTTCTAAGCATATTCCATGGAAACAGCCAGCCAATCAGCTGCCCACAGTACAGGAAAGAAGCTGTCAGCTAGAGATATTGCATAAATCTTTTCTTAAAATAAGCAGCTCTGTGGTTAGGATGGCTGTTTCTAGAATTCTGACAGAGTTGTGTAGGATACAGTCTACTCACTGAGAACTAAAAACCATGGCTAAGCCAGTCCACAGCATAAAGATTGAGGCACAGGCTATTATGCTGTGTTGTTGCTGCTTCAGCTTATTGAACAGAACAGTCTAAGGCTTTCTTAAAAAAGAAGAAAGCAAGAGGGCAACTTTTTTTCCCCCCCCCCCCCCCCCCCAATTTTCCTGGTGATCTAGAGAAAAAAATCTTTGGATCTATAAATGCGTGCAGTTATTTTCTCTCTTGCAAATATGACATCAACCTCAAGAGGGTAGTATAAAACAGCCTATGTTACAATACCTGCCCTAGGATTTTTCCCAAATTGCCATTTATTTGACAAAATAAGCTCAATCTCTACCCTCTGACACAGTGCAGGTAATTTTCTCATTATCTTATTTCTGAGCAATGACATTGAGGGAAAAAAACCAATCTAACACAAGGCAGGTAATTAATTACCTGCATATTCACTACAACTGGTTGTTCTAACCCAAATACTACATACAATGGATGCCAAGGTGACCTAGCCAAGATGCAACGAATTAACAATGAACTTACTTACTTACTTTACAACAGCAAAACCCCCTCAACCAAATGGTGTAGCTGAATATGCTTGTTTCTTTGTGGATCATTCTTACTAATAATTTCAAATAAATATATATGTATATATATTTCACTATATCTATATTTTATATGTATATATTTGTCTTCCACTAATTTAAGATGATTAGTCAATTGTGAAAATGAAATAAGGTGACTAATTAGGCTATAATCAACTTAGTTCCTATGCAAAATAATAAAGAATAATTTCACACTAAAGAAATAAGAATCAAAATAATCAGCTAATATTTTATAATTACTTGAAGTGTTCAATTCTTTACAGATGAGGGAGGGGAAAAATACCCAGTCACTTCAATTGTAACGGTTCCTCAACCTAAAGCATGATCTAATGTTTTTCTTTTCCTGTAATGGCACATCACTAGACTGAGCTTTACAAAACCAGGAAACTCCTGAAGCAAGAAACAGTCTAAAAAAACCTTTCATCCTCCTAGTTTAAGATTTTTCAAACAGATTCTAACCACCAAGATCCCTCAAGTATCTCAACGCATCCATTCACCTGTTTGGCTTTTGTCCATCCACAAATGCAGACCCAGAGAGGCTCCTTCAGTGGCTGTGCTTGGACAAGTCACAGGATGTCCTGAGTCATTCTGAACAGCCGCAGGTTCTTTCACCTGCTTGTGTCCCCATCTGTCTGAACAGTTGCAATCGTCAGCCGCCTTCAAGTTTAGGAATGACATGGATGCTTCTTGAGGTGCAACCTACCTTACAACTCTTCCACATTGTGGGCTATCAATCATCCTGAACTTCATGTGGTCAAGATTCTGCCTTTTCGACATCCCACCCCTCTGGAGTGCCTTAGGGAATATTACAGTGGATCACTGGTGCTTTGTTTTCTTCTTCCTGTGATTTTCAATGTGTTGTGCTCTCAAGTCACACTTACTTTCTGTTCTTTGTACAACATTTACCTCATCACACTCAGGTTTATTTTCAAGCTAGGCAGTAAATGAAAAAGTCTGTTTGTATGTAACATGTTTAAGCAGTTTTGAACAGCTAAACAGCATGTGAGCCAGGGGAGAGCAACAACCCAAAAGAAGAGAAAAAGGAAGGTGCTATATAACTCTGCAGCCAGCCTATACGATAACTAGAAATGGAGCAGCCTGATTCCCTACAGTTTTGCTCTAATCACCTTATGCTTACAGTAAAACACATCAATATTTGTCTATCTGAATGGAAGTATTAAATGACCATCAGACATCACAGGATACTAAATAAGGTTCAGACAAGATTATCAAGTTACACAGATAAATACAAATGGCAAACAGTTAGAGACTATACTTGGTTTTGGCCAATGCAAAACAAATTCAATGACATGTTTCATTGCCTCACTTGATAAGAAAAAAAAGTCTGCCTTTTGGTCTCTAGAAAGCAACCTACTACAGCAACTGAAACAAAACAATAAAGTAGCTCTTCTGCAACAAAGGATTTTTACATCCGCTTTATAATTCAAGTGAAAGACTTTCTCAATCCACCATGTTCATTCTTGTTATTTTTTGCAAGTACAGGAAGTCAAGATTTTAAAGACTTCCACTGAGAAACATTACTTCATACCTAAAAATATGAACAACAGGAACAACTCAGGAAGTCTTCCAGTGCACAAACGATGTTAGACTGCCCTCTATGAGCTATTAACTGGCAAAAAGGAAATGATGACATAAACCTGAAATTTTCATTTACATGTGCACCTTTGGGCTTGTTTTCAATAACAGAACTCAAGACTACAAGATACCACCAATAATAAAAAGTTCTGTGGGACTGAATGATGGCAAACAATGACCCTACATAATTATATACATGTATATATTTAAAGACTGTGACTAGAGCTGTGCTTTTAGAGACAGGGTTTAGCAAAAAGTATTACTCAGACAAAGCATTGGCGGTGTTGCTGTTGGCAGTTTTCCTTGCACAGTTCTGTAGTTCCAGACCCACCGTTTTTAAAAAAAATTATATTCTATGTCCTTATTCTAGTGTTCATGGGTAAAAACAAAGCAGAGTTGTGCTTAATTTTTGAGAAAGAGCTACAGTGTCTTAAGGATAAAGGATACTACAGATTGTGCATCTGAGCATCAATAAGTGTCAGTTGTATCTCAGTATAATTAGTAATTTGAGAGAGAAATTTATCTCCAGGGACATCTCAAAGGAAAAAAAATCAGCTATTCATTAGCGAACAAAGACCAAACCCGCATGTTTGTAGTAATTATTACAAACACAAATTTACCTAAATAGGGTGGATTGAGACACATTTTCTGAGACATAAATCAAGAAAAAGCAGGCTATAAAGAAAGGATTTTTTTCTTCTCTTTTTTTAATTCACAAAGGTATTAGTAAATGGTAATGTATAAATTTGCCGAGTTGAGATTAAAACATATATTATACTGAATAGCCAAGATACGCTGCAGAGTATCATTATTCTAAGGGTATGCAGTGTCTTGTAGATGTTACATTATGTAGTAATGTAACTCTATAAGACCATGTATATCACCTCAGAATATTTTAAAACTAACATGCAACAAGGCAAAAAAATAACAATTATTTCATTTTGTGACTGAAAGAGAACAAAACCGTAAGAGCATTTTCATGAAATAGAACTGTATAAATTAATTTTCTCGATTTAAAAAACTTAGGTTTTCCACTCAGCCCTGGGGTGTGTCTGTGCTCATTTCTTCCTGGAGGAGAACCAAGGTATTTAACAAGGATCTCTCAAAACACAACCATGAAAACCAACAAATATTAAATTTGCAGCACCATTAAAGTATATCAATCAATTAAATCTCATGTAGAATTAAGCAGTTATTGACCAATCTGAATACATTCAATGCTTCTTATGTCAGTACCAATGTTTTATTGGTTTGATTCTGGTAAAATAAAGGATCTGACACTGGCAAATATACAGACAGTATCCAAGGCACTTCTAAATATGGAATTTTACGAGTTTCTAGTGTAGAAATCAATTTGTCAAATGTGTAGGATGATTCTAATACTCAGGTCTTTAGTTAAAATACTTTTACTTGCTCCTGATAGTACCTACAATGAACTAGGTACTATACAAACATAAATGATATGAGGTCTTACTCCGAGACCTTCATGTAAAGGCAGAAAAACTAGACCATTACACAATTCCAGTGAAAAAAGAATTACACAAAAAATCATGTTTTTTAAAAAATATTCTCTCAACTCCATTGTGAATTTTAGCCATTTCTGTACATCAGACCTTATTAGCTAAGGAGGCAGCAGTCTGTAAGCTGAGCTATATGTTCTGATAGTTCTTTTTGTTTATAGTAAACCTGCATTTCCTTAGACTGCACAAGAATATACTAACAATATCACATGTAATAAATAGTTGTAACAACAAAAGTGACACTTTAGGGGGCTTTCACTTGATAATAAATACGACAACATACAAGTTTGTTGGTTTTATCTTCTTTTAAGTGTGATCACCAAGCCTGACCCCAAGGCTGCTAATGCTGGGTAAGCCAAGAGACACACAAAACCATTCTTCTCTGAGAATACGTGGTGAGTGTGGCACCATGAACAGGTCCACTCACTAGCTCATCTTTCACTGATTGATAGCCAAAATAAATATAGCAAACCAACTTTCAAGCGACCTATAACAAAATTAAAGACATTTTAAATTAAAATCTTGTCCCTAATCCAAAATATACAACAGTTACCCTGTGAAGCACAATGAGAAACCTTACCAACACATAAAGGACACTTAGAAAAAATTAACTTCCAAGAATCAATTACGAAGCATTAAACACCATCTTAATGCTCCTGACAGTGAAGCTGAAAGGTTAAAACTTCCAAAGGTGTCATCTGTATGTAATAGAGAAACTCATAGACTAACATGGCTTAAATTATTTACTTCCTACTATGTTCAGTGCAATTCAAATTGCGATTGAGTCAAGTAGAATACATCTGAGAACTTGAATAAAAAACCCCCTCTCTGGTAACACAGTGGTTTTGAGTATGTGGGCTAAGATTACATGGAATAGGATATTCTTTGGAAAACTGAAACCTCCAATCTCTCTGGGGATTTCTGTCTGGTTGTACAATAACAGTAAAGAGCATTGCTAACTGGTTGCTGATCAGTGCTTGCCATATAACTCCTAGGACTGTGTTTTTTTAACAAGACTACATTATATGTAGATGCTTTCTGAAATACACTGCAAAAGGATGGTAAATTATTTTGGCAGTTTGTGTCTGCCGTATCTCTACATTACACATGAGAAGGAAGAAGGCATTTCTGTTTACAGAGTGGCATTGTGCTTCTATCTGCTTTAGAACAGATGTTTCCTGTTTCTTCTCAGTGTGATCACTTTTGTTTTCTTCAGCCAGGGCTAATGATTCTGATCCAAATCTGCTACTTAACCTTACAAGAAAGGTACACTTTTACCAGCTTTATAATGAGGAGACAGTCCTTATTTCTTCTTCAGAGCTGGCCACTCTTCATAAATCCATCCAATTTATGATTCAAAAAGTTCAGAGCTGTTTAATTTGTCTGCTTCATACAGCAAAATATTTTCCATTAGCTTCTTTTTTTTATCATTTATCTTTATTTTCAAAGATGTCTCTCTGGCTAATGCTGAAAAAAAAATAAAAGCCCAAATGTTAAGAAAAAAATCCACCTGTTGTATAAGGAATAGGTAATAATTTAAAGTTAAAATAAAACAAAGACAAAGCCAAACAAAAACCCCTTAAAACCAAAACCGGTTTAGGAAAATAACCTGATAGAAAACCAGAAAACATTTTGTAGATGTATTGATAAAATCATAATGAAGGAGAAAAGAGTTACTGAAATGTGTTTAGACTTAGGAAGAAGAATCTAAGCAATTCTGGAGAAGAGAGTAATTTGTTCCCACTATTGTAATACTAGAGCACTTTTACAAAGGCTTCAGTTATCCCAACAGGAACATGGGAAGTTTTGCCCAAGTAGCTTGAAGATGGTGTGTGTTTGAATGTTCTGCTATGCACCCTTCAGACTGATCTAGATTTACCTTGTGAAGAACATGGAGAGTCAAGGTCTGTGTGTTTTTGTTGAGAGGAGCTCTGTGCAGCAGACGCTGCTTCCAAGACGTCATCACTTTTGGCAGATGCTGCATTTCTTTCCTGGAGTCCATGTGCAGGCTTTTCCTGCTTGATCTTGTAACCAGAGGCTGCCAGGTTTTCTGAACTGTTACAGCCAGATAGCTCATCTCTAGATCTTTCTGAAGGGTTCCATATAAAACTACTTGATTCATCTGATTCACAAGGAACCCTTGACATCTGTTCGCAGTAAACGTCAGGCGACACAACACCTATTGAAGGTGGGCACGGACTGGCACTGGTCAGGATGGCAGGCTGCGTGCTGTCCTCTTTATTCTTCCCCCCAGAAGGCACGTCCATGCTGAGACTCACTGTCTCATCATCAGTTTCCTCAGGAGTGTTCATGGAGAATCCAGAAGTGCTGCCTCCACAGATGTAATGCTCTCTTAATTTATTTTCAGCCATTTCCATCATTTCAAGCACCTGTTTTTAAAAACAAAACCTGTGAATGCAGAGTAATTCCTGTACCCTTACACATGTTCTCCTATGTCAACACTCCCAAAATAAGTGAAGTGTGAATGTTGTAGCTTGAGACCTTGCTGTCAAGAAGACTAAAATCTTGCTCATGTATTTTAAATATTACCTCTGCTGTGTTAGAATTCTTCTTTTTCAGACAAAGGCAGATGGCTGAGGCAAAGTCAATAGCAACCTCTTCCAGTAAGTGTCCTGCTTTCTTGTCTAGATATTTACAGCATATTTCCTTGGCAGCTAGCTTTTCCAATTTTTTTACTTTGGAATATGAGCTTTCTTTTGCTATTTGGATTTCATCAGCAATCATATCTTTCTGTTCAAAGGAAAGAGAAACATTAGCGAAGGCAAACTGAACACAAACATTCACTTCTGCTTGAATCACCGAGAATATGAATCTTGCCATATATTTGTTATTATTGCTCCTTCATGGCTGGTTTACAGACCTAAAAGCTTTAAGAATCTCCATTCATGCAACTGACAGAAATGTTTGTTTCCACAAAAAGGCCAAAGGTTTTCTCTGCATGTGTTTAATGTCAAATTCACTAAAACAGAGGGAGCTCTAGGCCTATGCCTATTTATAGGAATGAAAAATACACATCTATAGCAGCATTCTTGCTCAGGACTTTTCAAACGTGTTAAGGAAATCAGAAACCTGGTATCCTTTCTTTTCTGAACCCATTTGCACATTGATGAATTGCTTGGAAATAGTAAATAAGAATACTATAGTTTTCCCCTCAAAGGCTTCAACAAGATGGGGAGTTGGAAGGCGCGCATCCCACAGAAGGAATATAGGTGAAGTCTGTTCTCATGAGGGTGGTGTTAATGGCATTCAGCGAGACTGCCCAGTTCTGATTGCTTGTGTAGTTCTAATCACAGCTTGGGCAAATTGGCCCAAATTCCAGATAGAAATTCCAGACAGCAGTGCAACACATAAGCACCTGATAAACACGATGCTGAGCAACTGCGGTTACCGCCTACCCACATTTCCCCAATCAGTTTGGCTCATAACACTTCTTTCTGGCACATTAAAACCATGCAGCACCATTTCAGCACAAAGCCTTCTCTTAAATACACATGTATTTAAACACCAGCTATTCTGGAGTATCTCCTACTACGATCAGGCCAGCACTCATGAGTGTGGTGTGTGAAATGGGAATATGTACCCTGCCTCTGTTTAAAGGCAGGTAGGCTAATGATGTTAATGGAACTGGGATATGGCTTCTAAACATCCCTTCTTCAGGATGTACAGCAGACTCCAAACAACAAACTGTATTTATATAACACGAAAATTCATTTTATGACAGCAACCGCATTTACTGATGTGGTATTCATTAGTCCTGCTTCTTCTTACCAGATAAATAGGGTCTCTTCCTTCATCCAGGGCCTTAATCCCTGTCAGGATCTCTGCTAAGACCTAGAAAGAATATTTGAAAGAGCAAACAATCTGTTCAGAATTAATTCTATTTTTTTAAAGTGCGCTTTGTAACTAAAGAAATACTGAACCGCCAGGGCATTTTGAAACTGTATTTTTACTTCAGATGGTTTAACAATGCCAGATCTTTGCAATCTTTATGATTTTGATCTTTATGATGTTTACGATCTATCGCCAAAGCTAAGTCTATTTTATAGTTAGGTCCAACAGATGCTGTTGAAACAAAGGGTGATAAGGAAGTCATTCTACATCTAGATATGAAATCACATTGAACTATTTAAATGGAAATACCAGGATACAGGTAACATCATAGGTATCAATTATTTTAGTTGAAATTCCAAATTGATGATGTTATGTTTGTAGCATCTGAGAACCCAACTGCAGGCTTCCTGCTACTCTTTTTGTTTGTTTTTTTTTTAAATGATCAGCAGTAAGAATTTTTTTCAACAAGGAAAAATTTTGCTTCTGCTGTTCAAAGGATTCACCTCACTTTGCCACCAACTGAATAGATTTGGAGCGTGAACATAATTAGAACCAGTATTTCAACACATCGTATAGTCAGCAATATGAAATTGACAGCAAATCAACTCTATGAGGCACACGCTCTTATATCCAATTTCCTGTCTAGAAGCACCAAAGAATGCAATGGAATATGGATAAAAGGCCACATACCACACCACAGCTGAATATATCGACTTTTTCTGTTAACTTCCCATGTCTGATAAAATCTTCTGGCAGATAAGTAAGAGAAGCCTGTAGGACTTTGGTTTTCATTGTGGCATATTCTGATTTTTTATCAACAGAATACAGTCGCAGACCTGAATGTCCAAGCTTTGGTGTCAAGTTTTCATCCAACAAGACATTTGAGCTGTGACAAAGACAAGTAACAATATTGGTCAAGTAACTGCTTTAACGGGAGGTTTTACACTTCTAAAGTAAAGTGCTGACAGTTTCCGGCATTTGGCCTGCTGTGTATGAGTGGAAGGATAAAGAATTGCAGAAAGGGAGAGAGGGAAGAACAAGCAGCCCAGAAATAACTTGAAAAGAATATACTTCCATCACGCAGAAAAGAGACAGCTTAAACCTAAAATGGTAAACACCCAACAGAACAAGAGGCAGCAGAAAGACACTGCAAATGGATTTCACAATTGTGCAAGCTTTCAGCCATTATTGTTAAAGAAATCCTGGAATTAAGAGGTGACCATGGAAGTGCTGAGATGCCAAACCCCTCCTCACCTTTTGATATTCCCATGAAGAATTCCAGAATTATGTAAATACTCTGTAGCTCGGAGGAGCCCTATAGAAATGCTGATTCGCATCTCCCAGGTCAGTGGAGCAGAATCATCCTGCAAGGAAATGAGTAACATGGTATTTCATAGAATAAAAGACTGCAAGACATTAGTAGTTTTGAAAACCAAAGGCTTAGCTTTAGTCCCAGTCAAAACTCCTGCCGACCTAAATCAAAAGTTTGGTCCAAAGCAGAACGTGATGATTTCCAGGCCATGGAAGGAACCTATCCTTGCATATTGTGCTACATGTTTTGCTGCCACAGGACACAGTGAGATAAGGATACAGCAAAGATCACACTTGCCCAAAGCATCAGGTACTGCCCATTACTGAGGCACATTGCTGGCTTTGATGGACTGCTGCTCTGAGGTTCCTCTGCCCTGCCATCTCCTCTGCAGATGCTCTTTGAATAGGTGTAAGCATATCAAACTGTTCCCTCGTAAGCCCTTGTGAAACTCCATAGCACATTATGCCAACGAATGTGATGATGGATTCATCAGAAATGTAAACCCAAATCCAGTGAGATATTACATATGAATAGACACATTTTGCAGATTCCTTATTACTTTAAGAGGCTAAAGGCTACACAGCAAAAACTTCCTGTTGACCTGATCTGCTTTGCAGTCAGAAACTGGAAAGGAGCTGCAGCCTTTCTAGAACTTGCAGTCAAGATACTTGGGCATTTTTATTTTTGCCTGTTTCTTAGCATTCCAAGAGATATAATTGCTTTTCATACAATAGCAGGACAGGACTTGTAATCACAGGTAGATGACAGACTCAGATTATTTGCTTACTTGACACCGAAGTCTGTTTTGAAGTGATCCATTAGGCAGGTACGGATATATCAGACAGTGCAATCCAGTTTCTACTGAGAAACCCAGCAGCTGCAAGATGTTGACATGACAGCACCTGCAGGCACAGATCAACAGTGGTTTGCAAATGAAATATAAGCAACACAGAAAAATACATTCCTGAGCTGGAATAAATGCCTAAATTCAAGGCAACCGGAGATTGTCCTGCAGCTGGAAGCACAGCATGGCCCTGAGCAAGACCGCAGAGTGCTAACTAACCTATCAGCAAAGAGAGAGGTGGTTACAGTGCAGGCTGTTCTGTGCAGGTAGGAGGGATGCAAGCTCCAGGAGACACTGCTTCCTCACCATCTCAAGGGCTGGGGGAGCTCAGCAGGGCCCTGCAGCACGTCTGAGGGCCCCCTGGAATCCAGCAAAAGCTGTGCACAGCCCTCTTCTCCCAGAGCAGCACAGCACCTGAGAGACAGGCTCACTGATCTTAAACTAAACACATGGGCACAGGCCACAAGCAGGAAATGCACAGATTGCACCCGAAAGCCAACACTTACCGAAAGCAAATCTGTACTTCGGTATGAAAGAACCTCTGGGTGGAATCGGGGCTTGTGCATTCCATCTGAAAAGTGAAAACGTGTGCTAGAATCTCAATAGTAATTATTAAGATGTTGCATTTATAGAGATCTTGTAGTGTCTACGTGACAAACTACTTTAGAAAACGGTATAGTATCACTGATGGCAACTTTACGTCAAAGGCAACAATTAATTGAAGATTAGAAAAAAAACAGCGTAAGGACAGCTCTGATCCAACCATTAGTGCAGGTACCTACATTGTAGGCTACTCCCATGGCTAGAGTTAACAACACTACTCACTTGAATAAAGTATCTCTCATACGTGTTTGCTGAATCTAAGTTTACTTACTTTGCATCCTTTTCTTTTTATCTCTCCTCTTGTGTAGTCATTCTGATTCCTTGCCCATACAATATTAAACAACTGCTAATGTCTCAGAGATACTAATAACATACCCCCTTCAAATAAATATTAAAGGTGGAGTACTTGCCTCTTTCAGTCTTTTGATGATATACTCTATGTTGTTCCTCTGACCTTTGTAGACATCTGCAAAAGTACCTTCACAAATTCTGCTCTTGTCACTGAAACCACTTGTGGCATTAGCAACTTCCCTCTGGGTCCACAAAAGACTCCCACTGGGGAGATCCGTCATTGTCTCCTGCTGAGGAGCAGGAGAGCTGCAAGGCTACACGTGTAGAAGAAACAAGTTTCTCTCATGAGAATTCATATGCTTTTTCCTTCTTTCAGTTGTTATATTTTCTTTTCCATGATCTAAGCAATCATTGTGATTGTTGGAAAAAAAAAAAACAACCATGAAAGGTACTGCGCAATCATATGTGAGGGCTTCCCTTTGTAAAACCTGTCTTGATGTGTTTTGCTGATATAAAAGTTTCGCGTAGTAGAAGAGACTTGGAAACAGTTACCAATTTGCATTTCCACCTTCCCCAGAAAACAGACTTAATTTTGTTTAAAAGTCCATGTATTTTTTTGAAGTGATGTTAGTTTAAGTTACAAAAAATCTTTATGGCTGGGGCATATATTAAGAAACAGATCAGAAAGTAGGATCCCTCATAATGTATTTATGTTCTGGTAGGAACTTCACACCTACTTCTGAAACATCTGGCATCAGTTGCACAATAATTTGTTGCTTCCAGTGTGGCAAGTCCTAATGCCAATTGTTATTACAGTAATAACATGCAGCTTTCACAACCTTAATGTGCTCCAGACTTGAGAAAACAAAACATTAACTCCCTCTCAAAAACCTTTGAGACTATTACATTCTTTGTCGCAATCTTCTCTTCTGGCTGGTACTCTTGAACCAGGTTATTCTGGAAGAGCTTAAAGTCTTAAACGACAATCTTCTTCAAAACAAAATAAACCAAAGGAACCAGGCCAAGACAGAACCATGATGGGACCAGAGCGTGCACATGGATCTGTAAAAAACCTCTGAGAACCCACAGGACAGATCTAGCTGGACTATCTTATAGACAAGAGTGCTGTAGGGAGGCAGGACCAGGAGACTCTGCTCAAATCATTAGAAGCATGAGAAAAGCTTGTCACAGTGAGAAGGTTAGACACTGGAACAGCCCAACCTTGGAGATTTTCAATTGTCAGCTACACAAGGCTCTGAGCAACCTGACTTAAATTTGATACTAGCCCAGGTTTCAGCAGAAACCACATTTTAAGTATAAAATTAAACTAATAGATGTATGCTGTTCTGACTAGTCAGTGGTATATACTGTACCATCCTGTGCTTACACCAGAAATGTTAAGTCCTCTGTAAAATCTATAGTAGAAATTCCTCCAAAATTATTTGCTATTTGTGGGCATGTTATCCATGTAATATGGTTAATTTTTTCTTTCACTGGTCCTTCACTGGAAAAAAGAATTATGCACACCATAAGTAATCTAACTGAAGCATTAGTAGTCCATTAGTATTCAGTCCAAACAAATTGTAATCAAGCCTTACTTTTCCACTGTATCTATATTTTATACAAGTAGAGGGACAAACTTTAACTGAGAAAACACAGAATGTCACGAAGACAATTTTCATTGTTATAATCAATAAGGACTAAAGGGATTTACCTTCACACTCGATGAGACAGGAGGATTTGACTCTAAGGATTTCAAAAGGTCTCTTGGGGGAGGTGGTGGCAAAGGGAGTGAATACAAGGCTCCTTCAGAAACAGCATCTGAAACTGAAAAAATAGCATTGAAAGTACAGGTTCTTTTTACAGTGCCACAGTCTGTGCCTAATTATGGAGGTCTGGGGTATTTTGTTGAATTTCCTAACCAGGGATAATGTGTGACAAGCTGTCAAAATGAGCAATACTGTGTGAAGACAGGCAGCTGTTTTCCTGGTTCCTCTTTGCAAGATGACTGTGCAGATCTCTCTAGTCCTGGCTCAGGAACATGGAGCTCTCTATGTCTATACTGTTGGCCTCAGTATGTCTTGTGGTTGTACTACCTCCCATTCCCAAGCCCAGGGGCCTGCTGAGCTGTGCGTGGCTCTCTTCTGGCATAGATTTATTCTGTGTGGTGAGAGAGACATGGGGCAGGAAATGTATGCACTGATCTAGTCTTAGTATGGAGCCAGGATGGGATCCAGGTGTTCACAAAGATCTGGAAAATGCCTTTAGATCCCACAGGACAGATACAGCCAGCATCTCTCAAGGCCAAGAGAGCTATAAGAAGGGGGAACAGAAGGCCATGTGCTAGAGTTACAAATAAACACAAATAAAGTTAAAAAGCAAATATTCAAATGCAACCAAGAACTACATATTCATTATACTATACTGAAAGCGAATGGGAAGCAGTCTTATCTGTATGGCCATTTCAATGCCAGAGCAAATTCAGAATCTGTTTAGTTACTACCTGCTGGTGGTACTCCCGGATGCGAAGAGTCTGTTGGTGGCAACAGGTTTATCTCATTTTCTCTGTCTATCTTCTTGTTTTCTATGGGAGTTAAAGATCTGTTCTCTGGTTTAGGCAGCTCTACAAGCTCTTCTTTTCCAGAGTCGGCAATATTAGACGCTGATGTCCCTTCAAAAGAGAACAAAGGAAAGATGAAGATGACCAGGGAAAACAGCGCCTGACTCTAATCAGTTACCAGGAAATAATCCTGGTCAGGAAAACAGACTGTAAACTAACATGAACATTAAAATGAACATTCAAGCAATTCATCGACAAATTGCTTTAATACTGTTGGTATTTAAATTCAGACCATATTCTTGACATTAACTACTACTGAAAATCAGTAAGAAGTCAGAGCTTCAAACAAATACCAGTAATGACTATGCAAAACATATACAATTCCTTTACTATAATAAGTTAGCAATAATAGTATATTTATTGTGTCATTTTCTATATAGCATCCTTCAGCCAACGATCTCAGATCACAAATACCTCCCAGTCTGAAGAAGGCAGCTAGTTCTTTGTTAATTGTTGTGGGACTGAGAGGAAGTTTGACAGCACTGTATTGGGTTTAGTCAGTTAAATCTTTTAGGGCTGTTTTCAATTGTGTGGTTTTAGTGTCATGACCCTCCTCACTCCCAGAAGACACTTTCCTTTATAAAACTATTTGCAATAAAGAATTATACTGTTACTTGTGAGCAGAAAGAAACAAGCTGGAGGCAATCTAAGGAAAACATAAAAATCAACAAAGCTCGAGACTTACTAACATATAAGGAAAAGTTAAAGGTCAAATTATTGGTTCACTGCAGCTCTAAATGATCCTATACAGCTTGGCAAAATCTCAGAATCAGGCCAGAAAAAGCAACTTGAAGCCTGGTTAAAAGAAATGCAAAGATGCTTTCAGAGTACAGGAACATAAAAAATATGTACATCTTAGAGGGAATTATTAAAAGTAGATTAGGCTGAAGTTAGGATAGTAAAAAAATAAAGAAAAAAAATTCAAGATACTGTGATAACACCAGGCTGCCAAAATCTACTGAAGCAGCAGATGAATTCTTATCTGTGAATACATTTAAATCTGAGGTTGAAAAGGAGCTTGGAAATGCCCAGTGTGCACTGGGGACAATAGAAAGACTGACTATATGCTAACAACATTTTCCTTGTTGTAGTTCTAAACTTTTGTTTCTACCTGCCACCTCTTATCAGCAACACACTTTGCATTTTCTTAAAAATCAAAACAAATGTTTTATTTTTATATCAAAGAAAAGCATGGTATTAATACAAGGGGGTTTTGTCATGCTGTTTTATCAGCTTTCTATCTTAAGCATAGTGGTGATCTTAGAATCAAAAGCCATAGACGTCTATTTGAATTTGAAATCAGACAACAGCTTTGTGCTCTTTTGTTTCTTTGTACAAAGCATTGGAATATCTGAAACAAGCAGGAAGCAGTATTCTTCATTTATAATCTGTGCTGCTCAGAATAAACTAAGTCAGTAGAACTGTTTAAGAGAAGACAAGCTATGCCCATTTCAGTGCACTAAAGGTTGAAAAGTAGATGAAAAGTGATAATGGTAGAAGTGGCCATGGTCATGACAAGCAAAGTTTTTCCTCTGACCTCTGTTTGGGGTTTGCATCCACTTTCTTCAGAGTCACATATGAATGCAGGTTTCAATGAAACTAGGTCTTAGAATTAAGACACAAAAAGCAGGTATATTTCTTTATTCCTGTATAAGAATGCTAAGAAATCCCAAATTTCAGAAGTTTTCAAGATCAGCCACTGAACAAGTCTGCAGGCCTTCATCCAAAACCGACAGTCCTGCATTCTGCAGTTGTCGGCTTTTTCCTCCTGTATTTCAACCTAGAAGTCTCTAAAATTAGAATCACTTCCCTCTTCTAACCTACTTTTCAGGGTTTGTCATCAATTTTGCAACTTCCTGCACATCAGGACAAACAGGTCACCACTGAGCTAAAGAACTGACACAAGACACAGATAAATTATTACGGACATTCAGAGGTGGGACTAGAGTAGTGCAAGAAATTGTCAAAAGGAGGTAGAACTCTCCTGGAAGTAATCTGCCAGCAGAACATCTACCTGTGTGTTCTGTCTGATTCCTTTAGGTCAGAATGCATAGAATTATGGTGATTAAGGACCACTTGGTTTTCTAAAGTGCCCAACAGAACAAGCAATGTATTCTTCAAATATGCCCAAGAGGAATCACCTGGGTAAGCGTATTCAGATATAAATTAAAAAAAAGCAGAAATAGAGGGTAAAGACTTCAAAGATTTGTCTAAACCTAAAAAGATCGTGCTAGAAATCACTGCTGCTTATGACTGAGCACACTGTGGAATGTCCACATTGGGTTAATTCCAAAAAAAATTAACTACTTCCACAGGCCAGAACAACAAAATAACCCGGACTTTCTGCCACTCAATATGCAGTTTTGCTATGGACTTCAATATAAAAGACAACTATATACAACTTTCTTTAAAAGATCCTTTCATTGTAGTTTTGCAATTTATTGCATCTGAGTTGATCTGGGACCAAAATTAATATTGATCATCCAGAAACGTAACTAAAAAGTGATCACTCCACAGGATTTGTCTCTTCCCATCCTCTTTAAGCCCTCTTTATCTAGCTTTCATACTGCTTTACAGACCCAAACCCCAAATTACTTAACTCCTTATGCGGCCCTTCATGGAACAGTCCAATATTGTTGTTCACCCATTGTCACAAAGGAAATTAGAGAAACAAAGCTATCTTAGATTTATTACATCAGTTCAGAGTCTTAATGAGCTGAATTGAGCATGTCCATTTCTTGCCATGATCTATTAATATTTACTTTCCCTATTTATTAACTAGCCTGTAGATATCACTATAAAGACCCCTGTTTACTTGCATCAGCCAGCTCCAATCTTTAGAAACCAAGTTTTTCCTTAGAAATCACAAAAGATGCTCTTCCAGTCTGCAGGAATTTGATTGGGTCTAATTTTTTAACAGGGGAAAACCCTCAGGGTTTTCAGCTTGTGGTGAGTGAAGCCCAGAAAGTCTCAGGAATGTTTTTGAGAAAGCTAAAAAAAAACCCCAAAACCCAAAGGTAAATCACAGAGGCAGAGAAAAAACAGGTAATACCTCTTGTTCCAGTGGCTGACCTCAGATGCATCTTGTGCAAGCTACAGCAATACAGTGATACTGACATACCATAAAGTGATATGGACAGGCAGACAAGCAGAAGAATAAGACTTTCTGTGCAGAGATGATTATTTTTGCTTGTGTTCTATCTTTATTTTTAAGGGTGAGGTTACTGGAAGCTGCTCTGGGATTGGAAGCCTGATTCTTTACATTTTACATAAGCACTGAGAAAAAGCTTCCTTGGTTCTTGTGTAAGCAATCTTGTCAGGCTTTAAAATGCCTCCTTTCAGGGTCTGATCCACTGCCACATTCTGGCCTTTGCACACAGGACCAGACCCAACCATCAGAGACCCTCTGTGCAGGCTCTAGGCTTTGGGGTGTCATTTCACTGAATGTGCTATACATCAGCTCGAACCCAACAATGTTGTGGTTTGCAAGCAATAGCTCTCTGAAATTAAATACATGGAGCTTCTCAGCACTTCAATGTACTGAACTAACCTCAGTTCTACTCATGGGCTTGTTTTAAAGGCCTGTAAGAGAGGAAAAAACCTGCTACCTGGGGGTAAAAGCAGCAGCTTCTCAGTTGTTACAGGAAGTAATTTTTCTAAGCTCTTTGAACTCAGCTTTTGCAAAAACGGTAAAATTAACCCATGTGGGAAAGAAAGGCATCATACCTAACTGAACAAACCCACCTTTTTCCATGGCAGATTAAAACTGTGTTGAAGATTGTTGCTGCTATTATGTAGTAGTAAAAACATTTAGTATTTTTTCAATTTCAGTTTTTCGGAAGGAGAATGCAAAGGGTTTTGTATTAAATCACAATGAATAAAGCAGGATTAAGCCAGCTATAAACAAAGGTGGGCCCCAGAATGTGCTCTGACAGGGAAAGAATGCAAGGCCTGTAACTAATTAGAGCTTAAGGTGTGGTAAATTAAGTTGTGTTATATAAGAGCACCCACAAACTCTCTGCATAGACAGGGAATTGATGGTGTTAAATATTGAACAGGCACACAGCAAAAGCCTCATAACATCGCAGAAGTCACCCTCTACTCCAGAGCATCCATAAAAATACCATTACCAGGATTATTGTGTTGGTGATATATCTAGACCAGAGTTATTCAATGTATAAATTTAAAAATATAATTAAAATCAAGACTTTTGTCTACAATCCTGTCCACTCAGATGGGACCCTCACAATGACCAGATTAACAACTCGATTACTGACTCGAGGTCTTCCTGTAGCTCTGTTTGCTTTGCTGAGGAATGAGGAGTAGGAATTGTTACGGTCTTCTAAGCTGAATGCTGTGACTGAATTCAGTCAGGAAGCGGATCTGCTGAATCAAAGGGCTGGATAGGGGTGGCAGCAAAATCAGTTACATTAACTGAACAATGCTCTTGTTAGGGTCTGTGGTTACTGTGTTAGATATACTAAGACAGAATTAGTACTTAATATTCCTTTAAAAAAAAAAAAAACGAATAAAGTTACAGAATTTGGAATGCCATTGTCAGATTTTTTCCACCACACCCAGATGAAGGCTTAAAGTCATGCTAATTCCCAGAAACTACAGAAAACAGCAGTGCTACACAGAGAAACGCTGTGGCAAGAAACCCATGATGCAGTGTTGGACTTCCCACACATGCCAGCTGGCAGCCCTGCCCAGTGGAGATGGGCTGCTGTTGAGCAACATCCACTCGTGATGTCACTCCAAACCACTCACGGCAGACAGTTTCTCCATCACAGAACAGGAGAAGCAGATGGTGCTCCCGCACATTCCCTACCTCTGGAAGCATGCGCCCTCGTGAGCTTTGAGCGCTGCCCATGCTCACCTGGACAATGCTTCTCTAAGCATTTTTGGCCACGTAACAGAAATCTGTAATGTTTCTTTCTAGTAATTCCCTAGGGAAAACTGGCAAAATTCATACAAACATCTGGTTTCCAGAAAGTAGATTTTGCATGGAAATATGTGTGAAAAGAAGAATGTGGTCCACTCTCAACTTTTTGGGGCTACTTAATACAGAAAGACAGTATGTTGTCCAGGCTTCAACAGTTTTGGTGGTAGCACTGGGTTAAAGTACAATTTGGCTTACAAAAATGGACAGCTGCAATTTAAACATAAATATAATTTTCCTTTCCACTTTTCTCCATTGAAAATTAAAAGTGTTGCGATTTCTAGAAGGCAACTGTTTACCTTGACCAGGCACACTGAGTTCAAACTCTAACCATCCTACCTCAAAAAGATAAATCTGAAATACAGCAAACTAGAGATAGGTGAGAAGAATTACATGCAGAGTGAGAAAGTTAAACTTTCCCCAAGTTAAACTAGAGTTTAATTTGGGGAGAGATTGAGGAGAACATATGAGAGGAACAGAGAAAATATGAAGTGGCATAAACAGTAATGCAGGTAGTTGATAAACCATTTCTCCTTTTCATAACCTTTTCCTTATGCCGCAGGACGGCAAGGTACACAGGCAAAACTGCTTACATGTTCTTCTGCTCAGGGTTTGTTGACAGAGAAATGTGCATAATTAAGCTCTGTTTTGAAACTCTGATGCATTGAAGTACCAGCCCGGGTTCACAGCACAGCCAATCTCTCTGTGGCACCTCTTGAAGCCACTGCAAAGGTGGCATGATGAATAAAAGGGACCTGTGATTCCTCCTCTATGTCACCTCTTAAGCATAAGACTCCCTGCAAAAGGTTTTCTCAGCCAGTAAGACAGATCTACTGGATTTGGGCTGGTGCTCTGGGAGAACACAGAGATTCCCATGGGAGGGAGAAGCAGCTACTCACAGTCCAGAATGACTTGGGCTGCCCGGTACAGCTGCAGTCCTCGCAGCAGGTCCAGGAGCTGCTGCACTGTTGCTAGCCTCACTCCCCACCACCACATCAGCTCCCTTGTTATGCTGATCCCCGTCTTCTCCATGCACTTGATTTTCCGTAGCTCTGTTTGGTCAGTTATCACGTAGGACGCTGGTGGGAGACAATGGAGAGTTCTGTTTAAAAACTAGAAAATACAAGCAGGTGCAACAGGGAAGGTGCAACAACAAGGATGACAATAAATGAGCTGTATGGACATGAAGAAAATTCAGTTTGTATAAGCTCAGCTGTGTGCTCATTTGTGGTCCCTGGTGGAGATGCCACTGAAGGTGTCCACCTGAGTCAGCCGCACTCAGCTGACCCACATCTATCTGAAGGAGAGAGGTGTGGGGGCCTAGGGTATGTGTGTGGGAACAGAGATTCCCCCCCTTCCCACGTCAGCTGGCTTTAGAGGACATTGGACATAGTTTTGTACATGCAAAGATAGCGGAAGTGAATCCCACCCTAAGTCAGCAAGTTTAATTGGGTTAAGAGTTTACTTAGCAGAGTTAGTGAAGTCTTGAATGAGATTAAATCATGTTAAATAAAGGAAGTCAAGCCAACTAAGAAATGATTCAGGTTAGAATTGTTTGGACCGGGATACAGAAAGAAGGATTAAAAACCTCAGGGACTGCATTTTCTGTACTTATTAATAGGACACAGCAGAACCATAAAAATGAGTGAAGTATGAGGGAATATACATAAAGTGAAGGAAGAAAGAAAAAGAATAGAGCATCTAAGTGAGGCAAGCACTGAGGAGTAGCAGAAGTTAAAGTGTGAAAAGATAAGGGAGTGCAAAAGAGAGCAGAGAGTGAGGGGCGGATGCCTGGCAGTCCATAGAAGCCAAGCAAACACAGAAGTCTGGAATTCCACCTATTAACCAGAAGCTTCACTTGATCCCAAAACCAGAGTGGTGCATGGGAACTGCCCGTCTACAGGATGTGAGCGCTGGGCAGCAGCTGGGCCAGAGGCCCCGCATGGGGCAGCTGCGTTCCCTGCCAGCACCTCCTGCCCTTCCACTGCCCGTCCGAGCCGTGCTGCCGCTCTGTACCCCCATCGCACCCCACCAGCCCGGGGAGCACCAGCCCACCTCCCCGCACGCCCCTCTCACCGAACCGCATCCAGTCGTAGTCGCTCAGGCAATCCATCTTCTGGCAGAAGTCCTCCAGCACCCAGGCAGGCATGCTGTGGATGTACAGCGCCGGGGGGGCGCCCCCTTTCAGGGCCAGGGGCGGCTGCTGCAGGGTCATTGCTTTGCAGTCCCTCTCCGGAGTGTCCTTCGCCCCCGCTGTGGCCATCAGCCGCGGCTACGCATGGTGCGTGCCTAGGGCAGGACGCTCACCACGCTCTGCCTCCTGCGCCTGCTGTGGAGGGCTGACTTTCTCCAAATGCTTCCTCTTCTCAAAGGGGCTGTCCTTCTCAGCCTGTCCCCACCCCGCCACACTCACTCTTTGCTGGCGGAAGAGCCGAGCAACACGGGCAAGCGTTTCTTGGCAAGGTCAGACCGCGCTCCTGCTTCCTGCTCCGGCTGACGTCAGGCCCCAAATGCAAATCAGATTTTCCCTTCCATTGAGTGCTTATTGCTCCAGCCCGATTGCCAAATGACAGGTTTCACGGGATGGAGGTGAAAGATGCTTTCCTGCCTGTTACGCACAGCTGGCGTTGCCGACAGGCTGGGCAACGGCTGCTCACAAAGCAAGGGGTGGTAGGTAAGGAGCTTGCCCACTCAGCCCAGGCACTGGCCACATATCCAGGGCAGTCTGCTAGCGGCTTGGTTACCCATGTGGGTATAGATATGTCTGTGTGTTTAAACATAGATCCCCCCAAGAGCTGCACCAACCATGCTCCCACCACGTTGGATACTGCACAAGTGGGGATAGAGGAAGTTTCACAGATCCCACAAGATCAAAGAGAGGAATGTGTACCAGCAGGAGGGCAGTTAAAAGCTCTGCCAGCAAATACTGAGCAGTGACCCCTCTCCCTGACTGCTGACAGGATTTTGCAGTCATTGTAGCATATAGGATTTCACTTACCATAATACATAGTACAGTAGCAGACGCAGGGTGTGAGAAGTGATCATCTAGCCAGGTCTTGCCAGTCAAGGATTAGGTTTAAAATGTGTTCTTAAAGTCAATATTTTTTCTAAATTTTTTAGGTTTTCCCTTTTTTTGTATTTAAGCTGCTTTTGATAAACATTTGTAATGAATTTGCCAGTGCACATGCTACAGATACTGCTGGCAAAACCACCTCTTGGAGAGCCTCACAGTGCTACCTCTACCAGCATGGTGATGACCAGAGGTCTTCACCAAACACAATTGTGACCCATTCCTCTTTCTGCTTTTTGCTCATGTTCAGCCCTCGGTCTTTTTTTATTTATTGCAAACAGTACTGTAAGTTTAGAGAGCTTTTAATTTACTATTTCTTTATAATCTGCTTGCATTTTACAGTAGAGCTAACTCTTGTTTTCAGGATCAAACTTCCACACTTTGGCAATTTTCTATACTTCTTACCTCAGAAATTATGAGCCTTTCAAGTACCATTAAAGTAACAATGAATTTCTTACCCCCCCTTACCCTGGCAAGGAAAAGCAGAAAAATGTGGTACTAATGTAGGTACAAGGTGAAAAGACCGGGGGGGGAGAGGGAGGGAGAACAAAAATATCCAAATTGTGTAATTTAAAATACCACAATTCAAAGATTCCTTGGGACATACCCATTTTAGCAGTAGCACTATTTCAATAATAAGTTGAATTTATGGGGGTTTCCCCACCTTTTAGCTGCTTAGTGTCCTTCTGACACATAGCCGTGGGAAGATGATCAGAGCCTCTCTGAAAGTCACGCAAGACGAGATTGAAATGTGTGCTGCAAAGAAGTGGATAAAAGGAGGAAGAGAAGACTCTTCTTTCCCTTGGGTACTGGAAAGAAACTGAAACTTTTAGGACTATTTGCCTCATGGGAGAATAAGGGGAAAAAAATGCATTGACAAAACATGCAGCTTCCGTTTTGCACTAATAAAGGGTTTTACAAGGGAACTGAAATTTACTTTTTCACACGGAGAATGGAATGATCCTACACACTCCTGTTGCTTAGTCTCCGCTTTCAAATAACGAGGCATCATTCGGTAGGACTCTGTACCGCTGCGTGCCCTCCTTGAGCCCTTGGGCACTAAACAAACTTGTTGTTTCTGTGGTGTTTTGCACCTTCAGCTGTTACCCACCACTTCCTGCAGCGGCACATTCCCACCACCGCTGTGTCGAGCTGGAGCTCAGCCGGGCCCTGACCTTTGATGTTCCTGCCTGCCAATGAGACACCACCGTGACTCCAACTGAAAACTACACAAGTCTGCAATGCATTTGTCACAACCAAATGGCAACTTTCACTCATCACTAATCCAGGTTATTAACTAGTAGGAGGGCCCATTTCCCATGTATCAGAGCCAGCTGGGTTTATTTTCTGACCTTTTTTTATTCTGACCCAAAGGAGCACGCCAGAAATACACTTTCTTGCATATGCTGAGCATTTCTCCATGATTACCTGCCTATACCATCTGGGTTTGTTGTTTGTATTTTTAAACATTTTATCAACAGGAGTTCTTTACTGACCAAACCTTTCTAGTATAGTATTAATGCACCTGCTTTAACAATTCTAATTGAACAGGCCTTTATATGAATTATTTCCTCACACCTGTCAGTGCTTTGCACTTCGAATAAAAACTCAAGCTATGGGTTTGCTTAAGAATGAAAACCAAATGATACCAAAAACATTATGAGCTATTGCATTCCAACAACAAACAATACACAATCACATTGGTTTTTTGCTAGAATGGCTCTGGGTAAAAAAACTAAAGACATACAGCTGGGGTGATGTTATTACTAAACTAGTCCATGGTAGGGTCTGTGAGCATTTGGTAATTGGACTAGCTAAATGAAGGTGTTATTTATCATGCTCACAATCACTGTTGTGTTGGTTAAAAAGACAACACAGAACCAGCACCTGTACAGTACTGTCAGACTGTGGCACAAGAGTCAAATGGAACATCAGATGTTACTCATCGGCCTGTGAAAACTAAACCTTATCACCTATTTGTGAGAGATGGTGTGAAGTGCTGCTCATCTCAGAGAGGAAGTTGCTAAGCTTTTAAACCTGATGTATGGGGGGGAGGTGAAATGTTATTCCATGACTTATCAACAGGAAAATCAACACTTAGATCATACACGAGAGCTAAAATCAGCTAAGTATTTACACAATTCATATCACAACAAAATGTATCCACACTGCAAGAAAACAACTGTGGGAAGAATAGGGGAGGCAGATGCATGAACAGGCTCCTGCCTCAGACTTTGTATTTGGGTTCAATCCCTCCCCCTCCCAGGCTTCTGCCATAACTTTGGAAAACTCAATTTCACCTGCAAAATGGAAATAGAATTTCTTTTGTTATCTTGTCTAGGGAAAGTATAAGGTTCCAAGCATGAATTGCCTCTTGCTGTACATTGAGCAAATGATTTAACTAAATGTAAAGTTCAGCAAAGACAGGATCATCCATCCCAGTTAGTGAGTTTCTTTCTGACACTGTGCCACATTTTATGATTCCATGGTTCTATTCTTATTCTATCCTTTTCGAAATACTTTAAACATCTGGAAGGGGTTATATAGTTCTGTATTTTAAGATAACTTACTTTTTACACTTTACTTGCTTAAGTATGGAATGTTTGCCCATTTCATATAAACAGAATAAAAAGATGGTTTCTAAGCAAAAAGTTTACAACTGGCATAAAGGGACTCTAGTGGTAGGACAAGGGGTAATGGCTTTAAACTTAAACAGGGGAAGTTTAGGTTAGATAGAAGGAAGAAGTTCTTCACAGTGAGGGTGGTGAGGCACCGGAATAGGTTGCCCAAGGAAGTTGTGAATGCTCCAGCCCTGGAGGTGTTCAAGGCCAGGCTGGACAGAGCCTTGGGTGACATAGTTTAGTGCGTGGTGTCCCTGCTCATGGCAGGGGGGTTGGAACTAGATGATCTTAAGGTCCTTTCCAACCCTAACTATTCTATGATTCTGTGATACTCCTATGATCAATGAGATCAGGAGGTAGTTTGGGTTTGGCTAGTCACAGATAAGTATGCTTTTCTGTCTGCCAACATGCAGGAATCCAAGGAGTCTGATCCAATAGCAGTCAAACATTGTACCAGGAAAGCATCACTGACTGCCTGTGCACTGGAGGAAGTCACAGACTAATGGAATAAATTTTTCTATTAAGCAACACAAGAGGTAACAGACCCCACATGAATCAGGAACACACAGAACCTTTGCAGTACGTACAGATCTGTTAAACCTAAGACCTAATACCTGCTACAGTGTTGAGCAAGCAGTTTTCTGCATCAGTCTAGCCATGCTGCCACATTAACCATAACACAGAGTTCCACAAGGACATCAGAGAGAAACTCCTCTCTGGTATCTGCAGGAGCACCCAGGCGCTCCCAGGAGCTGAGTGACATCCTGCTGTCTGCTCCAAATGCCTGCATGGGCAGATCTGCAAAAGGTGGTAAAAGCAGATATTGTTGTGTAGCTACGTTTGTGCAGACACTGCCTGAAGCTAAGTTTTTAGTGTCAGCCACCACTCAGTCTTGCAGCAACAGGGGGCTGCACAGTTTGTAAACTCAATCCAAGAGTATCTGTCACTGACCAGTGAGAATGACTTTTAGGGGTATCACAGGAATACAAGCAGACAGACACAAGCACCATGAAGTTATCTGAGAGAATTCAAGTAAAAATTTAGCATAGATTTACATTTTTATGACAAAGATCAATTCAGACACTTCAAATATGTAAGAAAAAACAAGTCTACAAAAAGGGGAAACATTTCATACTTACAGAACATGTTGATAGTCTCAGTTCCACAGCTGTGTTTCTTAGAATGTATAACTGGAAAGAAACATGTCACAGAAATAACCTGCTCCTTACCATTCTAATAATCTCCTACCACTCTGCTTCTAACAGTGAACAGCACTGCATCGGTTAATTCGTGGACAACTCACCTATCTGTTAAAAACTACACTGCTTGGAATGACGTGTTCACACAAATACGTATCCTAAGGCATGAGGGAACAGAACATCGGTAAGGAAATGTTTTCTCTGCTTGTCTAGCCTGTAATAAAGCATGGATCTGTTTGCGAGCTGGATCTAGCAACAGGTCCATCTGAGTTGATGGAGTCTGCTAGCTGTTCCTTAGGAGACACCAGCAGCTCAAGTGGTCCCT